ACCTTACTTTTATTAAACAGATGGTACAAGTAGATGATAAATGTAACATTACACATTATGCATTGTATCACCTAATATCCTTTAAGGAAAACTAATAAAAATAGCTTGAAAACTTTGAGTTTTAACGATAAGGTAAAAATAAAGGGTAAAGTAAATAGTACCAAGATTAATTTTTTAGTGTAAAAATGTGGTTTTTCGTTAAAGTGAATAATACCGGGAACTTTTCGTTAAAGATCCCTATTCTTTATTTATACTAGCATATGGGCACACACAAAGTGTGTGAGAAATTTATTTATTTTATTTTTATTTTTATTTTTGAAATAGAAGGAGAGATGAAGATAGTGATAGAGAATGTGGCAATCGGAAGTTTTTTTCTTGTTTTTATTATTTATTTTTTATATCTGTTTTAATTAGAAGATTAAACTGGTAATTTTATAAGATTTTGATTGACTATAAGTGTTTTATTAATTAGTAGAGATGTGGCTGATTGTTTCTTAATGTAAGTACGTCACCTAATTGGTATCTTGTCCGTATTAATTTTATATTGTAACTAATTTCACGACAAAAGTGCGACTTCTGTAAGATTATTAAACAACAAATTAACTTTTAAAGTTTAAGGCCATCTTTTCCGTGTATACTCTTAAACGATGAGAAATTTTTTGTTGTGATGGAAACACGAATGATATACCACGTATTTTTATGTAAGTAGTGAAAATTTTTAATTTTTAAGTTATTAATTTTAACCTTTTAATAAACATATCTCATTATTTATATAAGGACACATGATGTATCGTCTCATGTAACGATCATACTGAAAAATCTCTCCTAAACAACAAAACAAAGTTTCAGTACACTCAAGTGTTTGAGTTTGGACGCCTTGTGCTGTGCTGATAAGATTTTGACAAAAACAGAGAAATGTCTAAAGATGACCCGTGTCCCTCTACTCATCTTGAGCTTTCTTCCGGTGTCTAAAAATCAAAGATATTCTTTATAATAAAATCATGATATTATATGAGTCAATATATTTATTACACTCATGAGACAAATAACTTGGCGTCCGAGTAAAGATGCCAACAAGATATTAAATGAGTCGATATATTTATTATACTCATGAGACGATTCTTGGCCACAAAATATTTATTATATGAGTCAATGTATTTATAACAATTTTCGGTCAATTTTCATACGATGATAATTCATCGTTAGATATTATTTATATTTAATTTTATATTTTAAATTTTAAAATAATTTTTAACCGTACGATATACGATAAACGATAATGATCGTCGTCTTTTCCTGAAAGATTCTCTCCTCATAGACTAGCAGTGGGGACATATAAACTTGCGTGCTGACTACGATTTTGAGTTTTTCAATTGTGACGGCTACATGCACATGTATAGACCAGTGGTTACTCTACTCCACGTGCCCTACACTTGCGAAAAGCTTTTTACATGAGTGTGTGCTACGCATTTTTGTTTCTTTTCACAATTTTTTTTAACACGAAATAATCTATACCGTGTGGAGTAAACTTAATTTTACAATATACTAATAATAATGTAATTTAAATTCAACTTAACAAGATTCGAATTTAAAATTTCTTACTTACAAATAAAATGTAATATTATTAGATTGTAATACCGTGACTTCTTCTTTGCACACTTGTACATACATAAAAACATCTTTATTACCAAAACACTTCATATGTGTTCTACATGCATTAATTTTATATGTCCATAATTTATCATATTCAGGCTAAATTATACTGTAGAAATATTCGACAAAGTAATTGCACCTTTATGTTAAGACACAACTCTTGTAATTCCATGAGATACAAATACAATTGTGGAATTAATTTGGGATCTCCTTCTATATTGTTTTGGCATTTAGCATACTTTATTGTACTTGATTTCGTCATTTCTTTACTGCAGACACATTTGTAACCACATTAGACCCAAAAAATGACACTTCAATTAAAAGAACATACAATTAACTCACCCGTGGTGCGCTCTGTGAAAAACAAGTTTAGGATGTAAACTACATAAGGCCATATCCAACCAATCCGACCAGAGGGTTATAGGGCCAAAAATAACCTAAAATGACATGAAAACCATCTCCAATTGAAGGCTAGGCCAAATGGCTCGTGGGATCCACCCCACAAATGCAAAATCGAGCCAACCGGCAGCCAGCCAGACCTGGCCGGTCCAGAAATTTGAAGGCCAAAGGCTATTTGCTGACATCAGCTAGCCGTTAGATTTGAATTTTTTTTCTTTAACAAATTTAAAAAAAATTAAAAATTCTAATTTTTTTTTCCAATAATTACCTAAGCCATTAAACAACATTAAATAACATTAAGTAACATTAAACAACATTAAATAACATTAAGTAACATTAAACAACATTAAACAATATTAAACAACATTAAATAACATTAAACTTAATCAACATTAAAAAAAATATTTAACAACATAAAACTTAAATGCCTACTCCATGCTTCTTTTGGCCCAAAGATATGCAACAAGATTCTGTTATAGGTATTTGTTTGTGGCATGCAAATGTATCATCCTATTGCGCCTCATATACTTGTTTAACGAGATATTACCAGTACTTGAATCGAAAGACAAATTAGGCCCATCATATATTTTTGCACGAACCCTCATTGACCTATTTGGATCATCTTGATCGTCATCAGATTCTCCATCAATATATTCATCGCGCTCATCCTCCACAATCATGTTGTGTAATATGATGCACGACATCATGGTGGAGTTCAATTTACCTCAACTCTACCCTCTTGTCGATTCCTTGATCTTCAACCGTGTTTGTAGAATACTGAAAACTTTTTCAACATCTTTCTGGTATGCCTCTTAGTGTAAGGTAAACCACATTTGGGCGTCATCCACATGGTTTGGAATTGTTTGGACAAGTGTCGCCCACTTTGGGCATCATCCACATCGTTTAACGAGATATTACCAATTCTTGAATCGAAAGGCAAATTAGGTCCACTATATATTTTTGCACGAACCCTCCTTGACCTATTTGGATCATCTTGGTCGTCATCAGATTCTCCATCAATATATTCATCGCACTCATCCTCCACAATCATGTCATGTAATATGATGCACGACATCATGATGGAGTTCAATTTACCTCGACTCCACCCTTTTGCCAGTTCTTTGATGATCTTCCACCATGCTTGTAGAATACTGAAATCTCTCTTTACATGTTTCTGGTATGCCTCTTGGTGTAAGGTAAACCACATTTGGGCGTCATCCTCATATTGTACTGACGATCGTTGATGTAGTAGTCAAGTTGAGGTGATTTACCCTCCGTCAGGTTATTGAAGAGGGGTGAACGTTCAAGAATTGTAATGTCATTTTAGGATCCAGGCACTTTAAAGAAAGCATGTCAGATCTATGTGTCAAATGAGGCAACCGCCTCTAACACAATAATTGGTTTTCTCGACCTTTCACTAAAACCTCATTGCCATCCGGTGGGACAGTTCTTTCACTGTCAATGCATGCAATCTAATGACCCTATCATGCCCGGTAAGCCACGGTCTTCAACTTTGTGAATGAGCCAATCCATATCTTCTTGATTTGGTTCACGGAGATACTCCTCTTTGTAAAGTTAAACAATTGTGTCACGGAATTCAAAAAAAGTATCAAGGCATGTAGACTTAGACATATCATATGTATCATCCATCACATCAGCTAATGAGGCATATGCCAGCATTTGGAGTGCAATAATAACTTTTTGATGAGACGAGAAACCAAGACAGAATGCTCTGTCCGGCTTTTGTCGAAAGTATGGATTAACATGCTAGACATTATGAAGTAAAAGCTCGAAAACATGATGCCTCATCCGGAAACGACGTCTGAAATCCTCTTATGTGTACACCGAGTTAGGTTTGAAGTAGTTGCTCATCAGATTGTCATGAGCCATCTCTATTTTGTGATTGTAAGAACGACTATCAACAGAGCCACCCTATTGAGGTTGTTCCTCAGTTGGCTCACACGCCATGACCCCAGCCATGGCTGCCATATATGATGTGTTACGTCATGCTTCATCTTCTTCATCAGATTCCTCATTTTCTCGTTTCATTTGTGCCCATTTTTCTTCCAATTCGGAATTGGATGAGGACCCACAGTTGGAATCTGAAGAGGATCCAAAGTTTGAATTCAAAGAGGATCTAAAGTTGGAATTCATTGCAAACTTGAATTGAAAAATATTGAATTGAAAGAGATATTGGAGAGGGCAAAGTTGAAGGTGTGTGAATTATAGCCCAATATCTACCTTATTTATGGACATTAGAAGCTCAAGATAAGAAATGTCACGTAGATAAAAATTATATCTAAAATCCCTACAACCAATTACATCTTGACACATGTCACTCGAAATCTGAGACTTAAAATTATTGAGATTCCTTATCGACAAGAAATCTGCAAAGTTACTGACATATCGACACGTGACAGACATAAATTGTTGAAATTTCATATCGACAAGAAATCTACAAAGTTACTCACATACCAACATGTGACACTCGAAATCCAAGACGTAAAATTATTGAGATGCCTTATCGACAAGAAATCTTCAAAGTTCCTCACATATTAACACGTGAAACTCGAAATCCGAGACATAAAATTATTGAGATTCCGTATCGACAAGAAATCTCCAAAGTTACTTATCGACACGTGTCATTCGAAATCCTATCCGAAAAATTATTGAAATTACATTCCGAAAAATTATTGAAGTAGTTTAATTTAAGTAACCATATTAATTCAATTAAAATAATAAATTATGTTTGGCCTATGGCCTTTGGCTCTCTCGATTCGAGATGGTTTTTTATCACAATGCTATGTTTGGCATATGCCTCTTTGGCACTTCGGTTGGAGATGGTAATAAATATAAAAATAAAATTCAAAACAAGATGTATAAGTGGCGTAATCGAAACTGTTTAAACAGTGTAAACAAAAAGAGAAAGGAAAAAGAGATTAGAGAAAGATAAAAATATGATTTTTCGTTAAAAGTAAATAGTATTAGATATCACCCTTCGATCCAAAATGTTCACCTGAACACTCAAATTGCGATTTGATGACCATCACCCGAAGGATGAGGAAGCCAAAAAGTAAAAACGAAAAATAAAAACTTCTCTTAACAAGTAATTATTACAAAATCCTTTCAGAACGTAAAACCCATAAATCCCTAGTCTAACCCTATCTCAGCTCGTCTAGCCCATATCTTGTCAAATAACTTATCTGTAAAACAAAAACGTGAGGGATGAGCAACAATGAGTAGAATATGTAATATGTCAGTCAATATTATTTTAGTCACTATAAAAAATACAATGATAATATCAAATCATTATGTACGTATTGCCATATTACATCATCATTTTACGTGTTCATTATATTCTTCATAAATAGTAACTCACGTGACTTCAATTTTACAAAAGCTGCACAACAGAGAAAAATAAAGGAGAAACTTGAAATAGGTCCAATTTTACAAGTCTCTTTTGATATGGGTCCAATTTTGTACTTACTTTTGATTTAGCTCCAATTGTGGAGCCTAAAATTGTGTACTTACTTTTGATTTAGCTCCAATTTTGGACCTATATCAAAAGAGACTTATAAAATTGAACCTATATTAAAGTAGCCAAAAAATAAATAACAAACACAAAACAAAGTTTCACAAATGGGCACAACGACAGCAAAGTTGCAACAGATTGAGGAAAAATGTTCAATCAAACCATTAGATAACATTTTCTTAGGCACCCAAAAAACCCACAAACTCAAAACCAAAAAAATCCAATCTAAAACATCAAACCACATACACAAACGCACCAAAGATAAACTAACAAATCCAAAATGAAATAAAAAAAATTAAGAATAAGCAAGCAAGGAAATCAACAAACTCACCGGAAAAGGTAGGAAGCACCGACGACAATATTTTCATCCCTTCCTTTCTCCCTTGCTTCTTCACATGTTTCCATCCCTGAACTGCACTTGTCTGCTTCCTTTTGATACTGGGATGCAATCTTCTTAGCCTCCAGCAGAGCCATATGAGCTTGTTCCTGATTTTCCAAAGCTTCAATTCTTGAGTCAAAAGATCCACAAAGTTCTTTAAACCAATGGAGAATTCTAGAGATCCACCCTAGAGAAGCAGAAAAAGAGTGTCACCCGTCCCCTTCCTTTCTAGGATGGCGAACACGCGTACAGAAGGGTAAATCCATGATTTTACTATACAATACAAAAAAAAACAGTTGAGAATTGTTAGTAAATGAAGAGTAATTACGTCAAAACACTGTTAATGAACAGTGTTTTTCTGTTGGGCATATCACTATACTAATAATTAAGAAAAAATTTTCACAAATCCAACATGACATGAAATAGATATATTTGAAAAGAAAAAAAAGTATAATTTACGACACATTACATAAATCACTCACATTGATAATCCGAGATTTGACATGACAACCCAACTAACAATCTCTACACACCAAACCCCTAATTTTATCGGATGATCCTGAATGCTTGCTAACCAAATGGAGCAGCAGCTCCATGTTTATGGGGCTTTTGGAGCTCTCTGTGCGTGCAGAGGAAATATGAGAGTTTTGAGGGAAGGAGAGAAGTGAGAGAAATGTAAATAGATGGAGAGAGTAACAAGAATGAGCTGAGAGAACGAGAGGTGTAGGGAGAGGAAGGGGGGTTAAAATAAAATAACAAAATTATTGGTTAGTGGGAGTGAGAAGACAAAGAATGTGGTCCAAGTGTTTAGATTATATAAATGAGACAGTGGACACGTAGATGAGGGTAGATGGCGGAGGAAAGAAAAGTATTAATATAATGATGATGTTGTTGAAAAGATAAAAGTGTAATGATAATGTTCGCAGAAAAAGGAAAGAAGGCCGGCTGTAAGAGTAATTCTAGCGTGACAAAGACCCCTTTGAGCAATTTTGTTCCTAAAAAGATGCGCTGGTAACCAGTATATTTAATTTACTTAATGAATAGTGATAGATCATAATAAAAGTAATAGACTAAATGCATTTCCATCCATAACAAAAAATAGCATAGTTAATTTTATTAAAATATTATTATCTTTTATTATAAAATAATTATTTTATTTTTAATTTCCGACTTTATAAAAAAATAAAATAATAATAATATTATTATTGAAAGGGTTCTTCAGATCCATAAGACCAAATTGCCTATTGCATATCCCTCCCACACCTATTCCTCGTCCCCACCGTCGTTGCCTTCATGTCTTTCAAATTCCAAGCCGACCTCAACAACAAGCTCCTCTACACCCTAAACGAGCTTTGACTACTGCATCTCCACACCAAATCCCACACCGTCATCCTCCCGTCCTTCTCCCTCCGTGGCTCATTCTCCCTTCGTCAGCCTGCATCATGTAGGCCGTCCCATGGGTCTATCGATTATGGGCTGGTCTCTTGCCTAGCTTGAGCTGGGTGCTAACCTATTAGGCTAGGTTGGAGGGTTTTAGTTGGGTGCTTGGTTGTTTGGGGGACTAGGTGCTGGGCTACCAAGCCCCGGTAGAACTGCTCTTAGGGCAACTTCTATTTCAATTCCCTCCAATGAACAGTAACTGCCTTTAATGAATAGTAACTATTTTTTGCATCTCCAACCTTAACTGAATAGTCATGGCAATAGGCAATAAAATATTAGTATTTTTTTATTTTATAAAATAATACAAAATAATTTTATTTGTAATTTCAGGTAAGATTTTTAATCGTTTTCGTTGCGCCACATGTCATTATCTGAAAAGACAATTTTTTGTGATAAATTTCGATAAGATTTTTATTTAATGTCGTCATGTCATGTGTCGTTACCTTTTCAGAATCATTGAGAATTGATTTCCAATAAGATTTTTAACCAATCACGTCGCTCCACATGTCACAATCTGTTCATAATCTTTGAGGATAGATTTCAATTCTTTTGTTCTTTTCCCACCAATTTTCTCCAACGACTGGACATCGATTGTTTCGTTCTTTTCCCACCAATTTTCTCAAGATACAAGGTTTAAATAAGACTCCACATTTCTCACAACTGCATCTCATTATCCGTAATCATATCATAAGTAACTTCAACCCAGTAACAACACAACGTAACATCTTCAATAAGTGTCCAATTCGTACATGCATCATTAGTCATTTTGTTGGAAACCAATTGGATTGAAACTTTGAGAAAAAGATTGGAATGTGGTTGAAAGTATTTGAGAAAATATGAAATTGTGGTGTAAGGTAGAAGATAATGAGAATGTATTTATAGAAAAGTAATTTTTTTTTTATAGAATTTTTAGTAATTTTTAACGTTTTTTTATTAACTTAATTAATTTCTGCCGTTGGATTAAAAGAAAATTGAAATCCAAAGTAACCATAGAAATCCAACAGACGAGAACGTGCCATGTGGCCCCACCGATTGAAAAGCTGTCAGTGACGCACCCCCACGCGCACGTGTGTGACATGTACCTAACGCAATTTTTTTTATAACGTGACTGACGTCAGCCATGCATCATTTGGCCTCAGGCTCTCGGGCCATCGATTCGAGCTGAGCCTCTCACTCGAGCCCCCCCTCAGCCCAATCGCCCGGGTGGGCTGGAGCAAGGAGCTGGGGTTATTGGGTAGGAAAAATCGCCCGTCCATCGAGCTATTGGTCCCGGTGGAGTTGCTCTAAGCACGTTGTGTCATTTGCTTAGTGGTTTTGGATTTTGGACGTGGGGGTTCGTTTTCTTATTTCTTTGTTTTCATTTTCTCACCTGTTTTTTTCTTTTCTTTTATCTTTTTCCTTTTTCTGTGGGATAATTAATTTCCTTATTAGGGAGCAAGTTAGGAAGATGTTTCTTGGAAGCAAAGAATCGAATCATCTGATCGTGTTTTTTTCTTGCAAGTGAGGTCGGAATTTACTATGGTGTTTGTTGGAAGCACAGGAAAGAATCAATGGTGATGCAAAAGTTTTATGTTGATCTATCATTAGCCGGGTAGGAATTGAAAACATATCTACCTGCTGGGTCCTGAATTATATTGGAGTGTAATGCGAGTCTTTAATTCTATTGTCTTTTAAGGGTTTTTCTTTCACTCATTTTTTCTTGGAAAGTTCCTACGATTCCGAATGATGTATATATCTTTGGAACCAGGATCCTCTCCGGACTCAAATATATTGAGCCTGCTGAGTAAGAGATTCGAGCTGTTGAAATTTGATCAAACGACTATAATTATTATAACTTTTAGAAGGTCCTTCTGTTTGTAGCCGTTGGATTAAATTTCAACGGTCTGAATCATTTACTCAGCAAGCTCAATTTTATTGGTTTAAGAGGAGATTCCGTTCCATATATCTTTAAGTAAACATATCCTATTACAGAGTTAATCCCCTTGGACAAAATTACTGACTTCCTGGATATATATATATATGTGTGTGTGTGTGTGTGTGTGTGTAGTACAGAGATTATGTGGTAGTACAGAGATCATGTTGACGTACAAAAATGTAATAACAATAATAACAACAAAACTTTATCCCACTATGTAAGGTCTACTATATGAATTCTAGAACATCATTGAGCTCAGTTTTGGGTCATGTATTCCGTTAGATCCAAGTTGTCTAAGTCTTTTTTTTTTAAATCTTTGTCTAAGTCTTCCGAGGTTTTCCTCTACCCCTTTGACCTTGAGCCTATATCTCGTAATTACATCTTGTAACCGAAATGTCTATAAGTTTTCCATTCACATATCCAAGCAAACGAAAATAGATTTGTGGTGATGAGAGGTGACTGAGACTTTTGTGGGCAACTTCCTGGAAAGTCACTCATCTCTGAGTTCAAATTATATTATGACAAATCCCATCTTAAGAGCAACTCCACTCTTGGAGCCCTTCCCCCAGGCAATCCACTATTCAATCCACAATGTGAACAGTAACTGCCCTAATGAACAGTAACCGCCTTTTGCATCTCCACCGTTGCACTTGAATTGCCCTAGCAATAGGCAATAAAGTATTATTAATTTTATTTTTTTGCAAAAACAATACTAAATAAATTTATTTGTAATTTCGGATAAGATATTTTAAATCGTTCTCGTTGCGCCACGTGTCATTTACCCAAAACGACTATTTTAAAATTTCAGATAATTTTTTCGGATTTTTTACAATTTTTAAATTTTTTTTATTCAAATAATTAATTTCTGCCATTGGATTTAAAAAAATTGAATTTCAACACTCTAGATTGTGCCACGTGTCACAACGGTAACTTTTCTTAATTTTAAAACTATTTTTTTAATTTATAAAGCAGATTAACATCAGGACCGGTCCTGAGATTTTTGAGGCCCGGGGCAATACCAAAAAAGTGCCCTAATATAACTCCACGTCAGAAAAAATAAAAAACTCAATTGTTTTAGTGTTCATATTTGTTCATGCGATGTAACTTTTCTTTGGTAAAACAATAGCAGGATATGAGGGATTATGCTAAGCAACAAGATGGGTTGGCCATAATTTGGTATCTAACTTGTCATTTAAAAAACTTAAACCTAAGACCTTTCACTTATAAGTGAATAAAAAATAAATTTCACATCTAAGCCATAACATTAAACTTTAGTTTGTAATTAGATAAGGGTACACCAATATTTCACAAGCAAAAATAAATTAAAGTATGACAGGTGTTTTTGTATAAAACTTATAATTATTGGGATAATTTTCTAATTTACTGTCCCTTGGGGCCTCATAAGAATTGTCACAGCCCGTTCCAAAATATTACATTCGTGGTTGTGAATGGACGAAATTGCCCTTAAGAAATACTAAGTATGTGAAGCTCAAGTTGATAATTATTTAGGTTCCTAAGTTTTGAAAATAAAATGGAATTTAATAAGGATGGAACTTAGATTTTTAGGTTAAAATTTTGTGGTTTAGAGTTGGGGATTGGAAAAGGACCACGTGGGATCCCCATTCCTTATTTCCCTCCCCATTTCCCGTATACTGTCCTTCATACTCTCTCTCTCTTCCTCAGACCTCACTCTCTCTCTCTCACCCTCTCGAACACACGGGCAACCATCAAAACCACCTAAAACTATTACCAACGCCGGATTTAAAACCACCATTGCACTCCTGAGGACTCCACGATCACGTAGGTACCAGTTTAAGGTAAGTTTCACTTCGAAAACCCTAGTTTCTAAAGTTGCCGTGAATGTGTACTGTTCATGAGCTTTGAATTGGTTGATTTTTAGGACAATCCAAGCTCATAGTGAGCTTAGTGAGGTCCCAAGGAAGCTCGGAGTGCTTCGTTGGAAGGATTTGGACGTCGGGATCACGAGGGTTAAGTTTGGCCGGTTTTGCTTGGATTTTTCCGGTGAGATTTAGTTGTTTTTGAAGCTTAAAAGTAGTATATTGTGATTCTACATGTTGAGGGCTTTAAATTGATATATTATACGAAGAAAATGGTTGAGAAACGAAGGAGAACGAAGCATTTGAAAATTCCCCAGTTTTCCGGCCACCGGAAAAACCAGTCCGGCGAACCCGCGAGGAAGAAGGTGCGCGTGGGTGCGCGTGGACCCGTGCCTTCCTTGGTGCGTGGCGGCGCGTGCTACAGTAAAAAATTATTTTAAAAATATGTCGACGTCCGTGACGTCGAGTAGATCACTGTGGTATATTCATATACCCAAATTGAGCACCGTATGAGAAAGTTATTAAGGATTGTTGGTTAGGTGTTCGAATAACGTTTTATAGTTTTCGCATTAGGTGAAA